AGAATCCAGGAACCCAGTCAATGGCCCACCGAAGAACACTGCAGTCCGAGCACTCTGATCAACGGTATTCAGCTACGGCTTGACCGATTCCCAACGTGATTGTTCTGTTATCATTGGAGGGAGACAGTGCCAGAGTCCAACGCCTGTCCGTTTTACTAGAGCAGAACCACGTCGAAGTAATTTTCGAAACCACGACGCACTTCTGCTAGACATGCCTTGCTACACATGGCTCCCGCCTAAAAACACACAGCAAATTGGTCGAATATTTGGCCACGCATATGGAAGGCAAGGATTGCATGATCCAAGACGAACCGGTCTATTTGGTACACAGTTGGTGCGGCAAACCAAATCCATTGGCTACGCGGGTCAGTCAGTCCCAATGATCGACGTAGCCATCTTATGGGAGAATCCGGACTCATTGAACTAGCCAGCAGCAAGAGATAGCTCTCTACTACAGTGCTTTGGCGGCAAAATTGAATGCAACAGCTCATTAGGAGAAATCCAAAACCTACGGCTTCGTAATTGGTGCGCGAAGAGTCTGATGCAAAAAAAACGATTAGATCGTACTAGAATTGGAAGTGGCCTAACATCGGGATGGAAGATTTACCTCTGTTACAGCATGCTCAGAGATGATGCATGATAATGAAACTGCTTATGAGCAGCTGAACGACGGCATAAGGTTGATCAACAGAAGCTCGCCAGTGTTTATCTTTTTTGTTAAGGCATGTAGAACATCTGTTTCTTTTATATGCTAATCTCCTTGATTATTCTGTTTTCCGTTTGACTTTTTTTCTGTTCCTGTAGCTATTGTTGATAATATTATCTACGGTTCAGTTGTACTGCACGCATTTGCCTCTGTCCATAAGCATGTTGCGACCAGCTGCGACAAAGTTTGGGAATCAGTAAACGATGAATAGCCATAATGTATATATCGCATCACTTCCTCACGTAGCAGAATTCAGTGACTGCGGTCAAACTGAAGTCCGAGAATATTTATTCGGGCTTGGGAATTATCACTGTAATACGTTGACTCACTCGCCCTCTAGTTTCGCTGAAGCATCAGGAGGTAGATAATGCTCCTATCGGCGACTATCTCGATATCACCATAAATGAAAGTTTATACTTCAACACACAGGATAGGTATTTAGTAAAGTACGACAATGGAAATATGTACTAATTTCCTTACAAACTAAGAGAGTCAAGGTATTATTTTCCAGAACCAACGTTCTACGATTAATTGCGTATGATTAATCAGAACTCCGTCGTTGTCGGTCCCAAGCCCGGGTGACAAGGAGGAGGGATGCAGACCGTGGCAAATCTCCGTAAACGTTAGCCACCTGCTACTCATGGTATTGGCACCATCGAAAATCATACGGCTTGATCGTCGCCCGGGATGCCAAGGGCCCGCAGGCTGTTCGCGGATTGAGGCAGTCTACGAAAAGTAGGCGATCAGAACCTGCTCATTGCGGGAGGCGTAGGAGCACAACAACGGCTCGAAGACCGACGGAACGACGACCAGAATACCAATCAGCAGCGGAGTCGCTACCCGTTCTGAACGGAGGAGGCAGACAGCGCGACGCTATTACAACACGTCAGAAAAGGGCCCACGAGAACGATATCACCAGTAGAAGCTAAAAGTCGGAAATTTCAACATATCATCACTCAGAGGGAAAGAGCAAGAGTTAGTTGATGAGGCCATAAAGTACCAACTCGAATTTGTTGGACTCTCGTCAGCGAAACGCCAAGGCTCTGGAATCCTGAACCTCAGCGGGTGGAAGCAATTCTTTTCAGGTGTCGATGCCACGATGCGCGCTCAGGACGGTGTTGGTGTTCTTGTATAACCCAACCTTGCAGATAGAATCATTCATTGGAAGCCTGTCTGCGAAGAGGTGGTAATCCTCTAACTGAAGCTACAACAGGCTAAAGCGTTGACCTTTGTGCAGGTCTGTTCAACTAATTTAGAGGAAGAATATGAGACCTTCCTTGTGGAAGTGCAGTGTGCTCTGTCCGAAGTCCCGAATACAGAGTCCCTCACAGTGATGGGCGATTTTAACGCGAATGTCAGAGTAGAC